TTGTAGAATGTTACTAAAAACATAAGAATTTGAAAAATAAAAATAAAAACATCTTTTTGCACTATGGCAACATTTAAATATTGATTCTCTTTTTTTTATGTACTTTAAATTCTATTATTTCCATCTCAGATTATTTCATCAGCTGAATCTAAAATAAATTATGAAAAATATTGAGTTTTTTAATAATGTACATAAATTAGTAAAAAGGCAAAGTTAATTTTTTTTTCCTTTGGGTTATGCATAATTCAGCTTGAGAGGGTATCATTGTAATTCATTAGATATTTTTTGCAAGATGATTCTACAAGATTTCTTGAAGTTTACAAGTACAAAAATATTGTTTTGCTAGTGCACAAGTGAGCAACAATTGGTCCTGGCTGTGTGCCATTTGAAGAACCATTGGTTGGTAAAAAAAGAATTCCATCTATCATAACTACTGCTATTCATAGTAAACAGGAAACTAGAATAGTTTTATGTAATAAAATTTGCCAGCATTTTTAAGTTCTGCTATTCTTGGCTGGACAAAGAGAATAAGGTAAAATGGTGGGAGATTGGTAAGTTCTTTCTTGTTTTTATGAACAACATCCTTGTATTATACCGATGCAAAAATATTCATAATTTTATAAGATCTTTTATCCATATAAAAGCATGACATCATTTATTCAGATGTCAAAGTATTTCTCTAGCTTTCTTTGACCTTATGCCATCCTTCAGATCTTCTGCTGTGTTCCACATCCCTTCAAGACATAGACGATCATGGTTCCTACATCTTCTATCTTGAGTGGGTCTTAGCATTTTTCTCCCTTTGCTAACACTCTCACCGCTGTTCTGCCATTCATTCAAGTAATCTCATCAAATTGTGTATTCTTTCATGAAAGAAAAATTCTAGTTTTTTCAGTTAATATTTTGAGGAATTTTTTTTAATATCTTTAACCTTTCAGAACTATTGACAACACACAGAGCATTCAATGGAGTAACACAAATGATAGACTAAAGTGAACAACTTTGGGAAATATGTTCCATGCAGAAGAACATCCCATTCCAAATCCATGATTGTTTACAGCATCATATTTGCAATATAATAATAGTTGTTATACAGCTAAATAACTTTTTCTTTTCCAATGCATCTTTCAAACAAACAAAATATACTGTAGCATTGAACAGTAACAGTTTTTTGAGGTTCTATCAGTTTTTAATAAAGGATTCTTGACACATCATCACAAATACAATAAAATGTGTTTGCAAAAAACTGAATGCAAATGCACTATATATGTATGAATAACAAGTATAACAAAGGAAAATTATATTTCTTAATTATCAAATATAATTTGAATGTAAAAGATAAAGGCAATGACTGACTGGTTTAAAAAATGTTAAAATTCAAATCATATAAAAACAATTTGGCAAACATGGACCTTTGTGCCTGCAAAAACCAGTGTTTTTCAAAAGGGCGGTTTTTCCATTGACACTGGTATTATTTTAACTATATTCATTCACTTGGCAATTTTTATTTACAAGATTATAAAAGATTATTTACCTTTTTATAAAAATTTATTTACTATTTTACAAAGAAATAAATGTGAAAAGAAATCCTTTTATTTGAAAATTATCAAAATATGTAAATCATTTACAATGCAATATTTATTATTTACTATTTTATAAATGAATAAGGATGAAAATAAGTTTTTTTTATTCATAATTTTATATCAATGAATTATAAAACAAAATTTGAATAAACAAGATTTTCTGGACACAATACATTTTCATTTCTGATTATTTTATATCTCAGATTACTTCTTGTTTTAATTTTTCAATTTTTTTTTTTTTTTTTTTTTGTGATCTTGAAATCAAAGTCTTGAAATTCCAGAAATTATAGATTAATCTTTTTTCCTACTCATTTTTAAAAAACATAATTTTGAAAAAGTAATTAAAATTTCTGTTGAAATCCTACTAAACACAAAGAAAAACCTTCCACCTGGCAGGAGATTCTATTTTCATTGAAATATTGGTGTCAGTTCAGAATTTAACCAAAATTTTCTTAATTTTAATTTCTCATAATAAATCAATTTTTCATTGACAGTGACTATCTTGTTCAAAATCAATATCTTTCTGTATTTTCTTTTCCAAAGAATCATTCAAACAAACCAGTTGCTCACATTTTGTTTTACAGTAACAGCTTTTCCTAGATTCCAGCAATTCATCATATAGAATTTCCTTTAAATCTAATCAAAGTTCACATAGAAGCCATTTTCCTAAATTCCGATTTTCCCCTACCCCAACGCTTGGAAATAATGTACTACAATTGATTGAATGCACTGAGTAAACTTCAAAAGATACATTTTAGCTTTCTCTAGTAATGTTGGGATGTCAGCCAGGACAAGTAATCCTGTCAAAAGATTTTCATCCTCTAGTTTTATGGCAAGCTCATCAACAGATGAGTGAGAACTGCCATGCATGCAGCTAGCCATTTAACTGGAAGGGAGTGGGGGCGCTGATGTGGATGATGCTCCCACATGATAAACAAACACAACTGATAAAGAATAAAAGAAGAATGTACAGAAGATAGTGGCAGGAATTTTGTATAAATTCATGATCTTTGGAATTACCTATGTATTTGGACAGTTTATTCGTAACTTCAATCCTGATATACAGCATTTCATTCAAATACTGGAAAAATATAATAAAATCTTAGACAGGCCTGATCAGTTGAATTTAACAAAACTTGTTTGGAGAAAAATAAATTTTAGATTAAACATATTCAATGTATTTCTATGCTACCAAAAACTTAATGATCACTAATTTGACCTGGAAAACAGTTTTATTAAAAAGTGAAGATAATGGTATGACATTAGCTAGATGAAGAGACCATTGCCACTAACGTCTTACCAATGTGGAAAGTATTTCTCCGACACCTTGTATATACCACCAGACTTCTTCAGTATATCACCTGTTCTTACTAAACTTGTTGATATAATGTGGGATGCAAAAACCATATGATAAGTGATTTAAAATTAGTAAAATGTAATTTAAAAAAATTTATTGATATATATTTGTGCATGTGTGTGTT